GAACTCCTATTGGACACTTGCCTAGCGGTGCGCCTTGGGATACATAAGGGATAGATTATCTCGGTCCATTCCCAATTTCAAAACGCGGGAATAAATATATACTTGTCCTGACGGATCACTTCACGAAGTATGTAGAGGTCATGGCGGTGCCTAACCAGCAAGCTGATGAATGCGCGCTTAGAATCGTCAACGATTTCATTTCAAGATGGGGAGCACCTCTGAGCATACACAGTGATCAAGGTGCAGCATTTGAAAGCAAATTGTTTAAAGAATTATGCATAATGCTTGATGTTCAGAAAACTCGTGCAAGTCCTCGCAACCCGCAATCTAATGGGATCACAGAGCGATTTAATGCTACGATTGTCAAGATGATAAAAGCTTATATAGATGAAAAGCAATATGTCTTGGACCTTTACCTAGGTTGCATTGATTGGACTTATCGAGCCACTGAGCACGAATCGACAAAGCTTTCCCCAAACTTACTTAGTATTGGTCGCGAAATCAGGTAACCTTTAGACTTTATCTACGAACGACCGGCACATACTAGTACTCAAGACAGTAATCCTGGTGATTACGTTGAGCTTTTAAGAAACCACATTTTCTTTGCACACGGGTTAGCGAGGAAATATTTGAAGGTATCTGCTGAAAACAGCGAAGCTTTCTATGATGGTGAAAGGTTATTAAACATCTACAATCCAGGGTATCTAGTGTGGTACCTTCATGAAACTAAGAAGCATGGTGTCGCACCAAAGCTAGAAAAGAAATATGATGGTCCGCTTGTGGTGATAGAAAAATAGTCGTCATTGAACTATTTGTTACAGTTCGAAAGAAATGGTTCTTAAAAGATGTTCCATCACGATAAACTGAAACTATATTTAGGTACGAATGTACCCAGATGGATCAAGGTGCTGAAAAAGAAAACGAAGATAAATCATTAAATCATTACTCATTAGTCATTAAGAATTTTTACAAAATATTGTGTTATTATATTTTTTTAATTTCATTTAAAAGTTATTTCACTTTTACAGCAATGCCAGTTAAACCTTCACAACCAGGTGTTCTTCAGGTATAATGGAAGGAAAACATTTATGTATAAGAGCGAATATTACAGGGTCTAGGGGTTTGCAGGTCTAAGTAGTACATATTAAAAAACGAAGTCTACGTCGTGTGGTCGTGCGTCATGAGTCGGCATTTTGCGTAAAGTGGTTTTGAGTCAAAGACGTCGTCGTAATACAGCACCGAGGAACTTATGAATCGTGATACAGAGATGGAGCTCGTTAATAACATAGGAACCTTTATTCTGTCGCGAAATGGGGCTGGCGTTATGCAACATATGCATGGTGATCCTAAAATCATCAATTATTTTTAAGATATGAACCGGAAAACACATCCCAGGGGAAGAGCATACCTGTGCTTACATTGTTTAAGGAAAGGAAGAGAAGAGATCAATTCAAAAAGTCAAAAAGAAGAGCACATCTACAAACAGCACGTGTCAAATGATGACCATCCTTTCTTCTAAAGAGTCTGCCGTTTTAGGAGCAAGACGAAGAACACCTTGTTTAGCCATGTAAGATATTTTGCTAGGCACCAGGCCATAATGAATGAAAAGGGATTTGATGCCTCCGAACCCTTTCTTGTGTGCAATGACAAACCTTATCTAGTAGGAGAAAAAGATTGGAAAATGCTAACCAAGGAAGAGAGCAGTAGGTGGTGGGACAATAAGACTATAAGCCCAGCGTCATCAAGTGTATTTGATAAGGCCCGGGAAATGGAATTGCCAGAAATATATATGGCGTCAAAGTATATAGAGAAAGTTGTAGAGGAAGATTGTGGTGAGAGCGAAGGAGGAGCAAAAGCAGAGGAGGGTGGAATAGGTGAAAAAAGAACGGAATAGATGGGAGAAAAGGTAGAAGATGATAGCGATGGGAGAATGATGGAAGTAGAGAAAGGCGTTGATATAGATGGACCAATTGATTTGAGAAGAGCAGAATTGAAGGCCAGTTCAAAGAAGTTATCAGAGTTGGAGGAAGTTAATGGTTTGACCATTACTAGTGGCGCGTTATATTTTAGAGTCGTACGGACAGATGAGAATAGAAGGGTCGTAAGGTGCGCAAGTGTAACGGAGAGTAGGAGTGACGGGTTGCAAATAGGGGCAAAAGGAGGACAGAGGAAAAGGAGACAGAATAGAATGGAGCAGATAATCACGATAGCTTAGATGGTGCAGATGGTGTGGAGGAACAGGCAAGGGAAAAGGTAGACGAAGCGACTGATGGACTTGTTAAAGAGATGGCGAAGGAGGACAGAAGAAATGTGGTGGAGAAAGAAGAAAGTTTACAGACACAGACTGGAGGCATGGAAACGGAGATTAGTACGGAAAAGGTAGAACGAGGAGGAGAAAGAGAAAGGAAGAGAAAGGCAGACGGAGACAGTAGAGCAAGAAAGAGAGTTAGACGAAGTAGTTTGAAGAGGTATAGATAGTCAGAGTCAGAGTCAGAGTCATCATCGTCATCTGATGAAACATCCTCATCTTACGAGGAAGATAACAAAAAACGAGAAATGAGATTTACAAATATCCTGTCAGAAATTATAAGAAAAACCGGAAGTTTTGTGGGGGAGCAAGTAATAGCGAATGCAGGTTTGATAAAGTCTTTACAGAAATCAGTGCATGACCAAAGGAAAGAAGTAATGGAGCTGAGAAGTGAACTTAGCGAAAGGAAGGCAAGGAATGAAGACAGAAGTAAAGAGAATAAGAGACCGGAAGTACAAGATGTGCGAGGTGAATCAGGACCAGCAAATGCACATGAGAAACAAAAGAGAGATAGAGATGTCAAGAAAGGTGATAAGCAAGAAAGACCTGCGGAACAAGAGACGAGAGGGAGATAGAAATGTTACGAAAGATGATAAGCGAGAAAGACCAGCAAATCGTGAGCGACTGAGGAGGAGTGGTGGAAAATCGAGGGATGGCCATAGACGGTTTGAAAGAGGAAGAGACTATATTAGATTGTAAAGCAAGATAATTATTCTGATGATATAGACATAGGTATTTAAAATTGTATAAACTGTAGTATTTTTCGTATGTCTTGGACTAGAGTGTTTTTGTTTAATAGTAATTTATTTTTGAATATGAAAGGTTTAATGCAATAAATGTTCGCAACCGTAATGACATTCAGGTAGTTTCTAAAGAGACATTTAATTTTTTATAGTGGAATGAAATTAAGACGTTAAAGGAACACTTTTTTATTTATAAGAATTAAAGGGACATTTAGGTCAGATTAAACATTATGGCAATAATTAAATATTGATTTTCTTTTTGAAAATTAAGCATAAGTCTGCTTTTCTAAACTGGTTTATAATTCATGATTGTTATATTTTGTGAGGCAGATGGATCTTTGCCTTGTTAAGAGGGGGGTAATGTGATGCACCGCATTTCACCGACCTTATTTACCTTCTAGTTAACCTATGCATATTTATTTTCTGTTATATACGGTTGATATGTTGTAAAAATGTTAAACACCACTGATTGTCAATGTAAATTATTTTTGAAAGCTTACCCCTACGCTAATATCGGAAATTTTACTGTAAACTTAAACCCGGAAGTGTTTATTGTCAGCCATTTTGGTTATGCACGATTTGATAACGTCGTGTAATTACTTCGTCATGTTTTATTTCGATTTATCAAGTGATGTTACTTATGGAAGCGTTAAATTATGCATACGAAAATACTATTTTGTTTGGGGTTTTTTTGCGTCACCGATCTCCCATTATTGTGTATTCTTATTATTTTTATATTAGATTTGTCGATTTAATTGATGGCGCTTTGTGTGAATTTAACTCGTACTTTATTATCTGTTAGCAGTGTTAACACTGTAAGCAACCATTTCGGTGCCCTTTGTTAGTATTTTGTTAAGAAACTCACAAGTTTCAAATATTGTTAGCAAACCGTTAGCAAGCTGTTAGCAATACGTATATAAAAGGCAGATTATTGTTAGCAGCGAGGACGCCGCGACTGAGAACCTCTGAAATCATTAGAGTAAAATATTATTTTACATTGAAAAGTAATTTTTTTTCAGTAGAAAATATACTTAAGGAAACTTGAACAAGAATTGAATAATTATTTTATTTTTAAATTAGAACTTAATTATCAGAAATAAAGTTTAAGTCAAGGTTCTGTGCCGGGAAAGTTTTGCATTAGTAATTAACGTATATTTTCCTACGTGAATTAAATTAATAGAGAGTTAAAATGCGCATGGTTGGTTGTTGAGGGCTTACATAAATAAATTTAAATAGTTAAACTTGAACATTCTTACATTATTTGTTAATTTTACTTATAATTCCATAAAGTTATTTAATTTACCGCGGAGTCCAAAATGTGTCGTCTGGTGTCCGTCAGTCTATTTTTCTGAGTCGCAAAAAAAGCTGAAAGACTCGAAGTTGGTACCAGTAAATGAGTCTTGCAAAGGCTTATTTTTTTATTTTAAGTGCTTAATTAATAAGCATTTGTTTGTGATCGCATCCTGTCATTCTGTGTCTGATTATCAAGCATTATTCAAAATAAGCATATTTAAATAATGCGTATATGATACAGCATATGTCTATGTCTGTGGAGTGAATTAATATCACTGCATAAGCAAAATAATATAAGGCTGTTAAAAAGCTGACTTTAATTATTCAAAAGTACATGAACAGATTGCATAGCGAAGTGGCCTTAAATAATAAAACATATAACAGTCTACAGCAGTTATTAAAGAGCCATCCGCATGGCAAAGAACAATATATTATGAAAGTAATTTATGTAACGTACTAATTAGAGCAAACAAGTAATAATTATACTTGATATCATCCTGTCTCCTGCCTCCTGTCTTTAAGAAGTGAAGGCGGTTTATGCATTCGGATAAATAGTGACTGTCGTAAAAGCATGATGTATGTACTAAGAATCGATCGCTACTCAATACTTATTTATTCGCACACATTTCATGTAACTAAATTTAGCGGTGACTTACCCTGCTGGCATATTGCCAACGACCTTGATATGGTAGTTTTCGTGGAAATGGGCAAAGTATGATGTAATCGTTGCGATTATTACCTGGAACACAAATTTAATTTACATGTACATAAAAAGACTTTATTCTTAAAAAATATTATAGTATAAAATTCATTTCCAATGTGAGGCTGTGGAAGAAGCAAGATTTCCTTGTATATTTTTATCGCAAGAATGAAAATGATATACGATTGTGTGAACAATGACGTCGATTATGACGTTAAAATTAAGTCACAAATTTTGGAGAGAGGCGAGTTTAAAATTATTTTTAGAGAAGAAAGATCATCTTTTGGCACCTCAAACACACCTTGACACAGACTGATTATCTTTGTCGACGTAACTTTAGAGAATGTCGATGATCGCGACAAAACAGCTAGTAAACAGGCCGCTCACCTGATCACAGGACTGACGTAACGAATAGCGTCCATTCTAACGGGGTAATATAACAGATTTAAAGACCAAAGAAACCAATATTCGTATCAAAGTTAGAGCTGGTACTAACCACATAAGCCACCATTATAAAGTTTGGCTCACCAAAAACTGTTCAATATGTTAGCAGTCCTTTGAATTGTGAAATCTAAGGTGTAAAATTAGCTAACTACGATCAGTAAACAGACGTTACAGTCCTGTTAGAGGGGGTTGGGGTATCTATAGCGTAACGTTGTTTAAATTAAGAATGACAACATATAAAAGTAACTCACCACACACAGTTCAATGGGTACAGGCATCTTCATCTTGGCCTTGAACCTCTGGTTTATATGGACCTTCACCAGGTATAGGATGACAATACAGAACAACGAGACTATCAGGGTCGCAATATTTGTGTGTGTGATCCTCTCAAAGATAAACTTGTATGTCTTGTTTAAAAAACATAATACTTTTCAGTTAGTTAAACCGAAACGTTTTTGGCAATTGATGTATGATTTAAGTAAGTAAACAATATAAGATATAATACACGTAATATTTATCAGTTGTAATTATTATAAATTAGTAATAGAAAGAGCATCAAAAGAAAGAACTGATTATCTGATTAGTACGAGAGGGCGATGCCAGATTGTCGAGTGTTTTGATGTTCATTATATTTTGTATCAAAGGCAAAAATAAAAACCTGTCCAATGTTCGAAAAAATATGAAACTCCAGAAAAAAATACCAATGTACGAGCATCTGATAATAACTTTTCTATTGTTATCTCTTTCCCTCTCAGCACAACAAGTAAATCTAAAAAAAAAAGAACTTACCAACGAGCATGCTTATTTTTATCCTCAAAGACAGTGCGGTAACTGTAGTGTGGGTAACAAAAACCTGCACTCCAGGTATGTTTAGGTACATGTATACGATTAAACTCTGATATTTTCAATAGAACGTCTCGAAACTATCATACAACGTTATTTTGTTGTAGAAATAAATGTATGAAAACAACAACAATACCCGACATGAAAAATGACAAAAGTAAAAAGCGTAAAGATTTCACACAAAAAAATTTGTTTTTAAGTATAATATTACTATTCCAATAGTGTTGCAGATTCTAGAATACAAATAAAAAGATTGGGATAGATATCATATTTGAAGGCCGCACTTGTAAAATTAATGCTTATGTATTTATGACATAATGATATAACTGTGTCTATATAAATCTACTTTAAGGCACAAAATATCAATCGAATAATGAAAATTATGCAACTTCCATGAAATGCTCAAGGCGCGAATATTCAAATCGATGCTTTGATTGTTTTTTTTTTGTTTTTGTTTTTATTATTTTATTTTACCTTGTTCCTTTCTCATTTACTACATACCTTGACAACTTGAAAGAGGCCGTCTGTACGAGGGATTTTAAGGCCTAGAATATGTTTGACTTGACTGGTACCCACGTGAACAGCTATTCCAGTTGTGAACCCGGCAATAAGAGGATCAGACATGTATGTTGTGACAAAGCCAAGCCTCAATACACCCATTATTATCTGAATACAACACAATTAATCTTAAAATCATGTCTTTTGCTTATTTTATTATCTTTCGTGCAAATATCCAGTGTAACTTATTATTACTATTTTTTTGAAATAAGAATAGGAAACCACTCTTTCAATCTTAAAAAAATGTATTTTTCCATTTTATTTTCTCTCTTTAACGCATTATTATTTAAAACCAAAACATAAATAAGGGAAGGGAAATAACTCCTATGAGAGTTATTGTACCTATATCAAACTTATAAAACAAGTGCATGACGTCGTGATGAATTTTATCTAGATAAAGACAATGCTTTGGTTGTAAAATATATTTTATTCACTATAAAATGTTGTGAAAATAATTGCATGCAATCGAATTTATCTGGAATTCAATGGTAAACATAGCAATTTGACTAATTCATGTGCAGACCTGTGTAAATCCAACAAGCAGCGAGATCGTCATCACTATCCCTAGTTTTGTCGAGTCTGGCAGGAAGGGTTCAGAGTTTGAGTCTTCAAACGGATCTAATGTGCCGTTACTGATGAGACTCGAGTTGCCAGGCAACGTGTCCTTGCTTCCTCCATTGTCATCCACGTAAAACTTAGCCACTACAGAACCGGTCAGAAGACTAACCACCGCAACAGTCCCTATAATAGTAAGTAGATATCATTAATTCGACAATGTCATATATGGAATCAAGAGTACAATTCCCAATCGCAACTTTTAGGCCCTTTCCGTCAGTCTTCGTATAAGTTATTAGGAAGTTATTATGTCATAATTATTATGACGAGGACGTTCCTGTTGCGTCTTATATGGTTGGCTAAAATATCTTATATGATTCATGTCTGAAGAAATAACATTTCGTAATAACTGAGTACCTCAGTATGTGAAAGCGCCCTTGTACACATTATTATTAAACTTTATTTGAATGTTGTTTGTACAAAAATGATCTCTACGCTTAGTTATTAATTCATTAGGAAAATTGTTAAATTGACTTATACTAACCCATTGAGATATGTCTAGACGAACCAAATATAAAGTATATTAGAACAGGGAAGAAAGAAATGTAAAGGCCGACAACCGGTGGCATTTCAGCCAACATAGCGTTCGCCATTCCTGTAATATAAATACAAGGGAAACAACTGTACCGTTACATACTTGCGATTGGTAGTAGTTGTTGTTCAAATTGGCTGATCTATCCAAAAATAATCCGAAATAAATGCATAAAACTGTTTAAGATGGCTTGTAAATTATCCTTGTTTTCTCAACTTACCATTTGGATTGGATTCTAATTTCGAGTCACTACCATTTTTTTTTCATTTTTGTTACATTCATCAAAATGATCAAAAGCAGGAAACAGACTCAGAAACGTGGTCAGTATACCGGTATTATTAAAAATAAACTGAAGTAATAACTTCATAATTGAGGAAAGCCAAATGTCCCCGAATCTAACTAAAAAGTAACGTATCCCTGTTTGAATAATTCTCTTTTTAGATATACCATACCATGAGATAGCTGCATGATTCCGACGGTAAGACCGCATATCATGTCGGCAATAAAGTCCGTTTTCCAATTGTATTTTTTCATTATCCTGATCATAGGAACGAGGCGATTTAACCTCGCTTTGGTATTTTTCTTGTCGCTGACGCAGCATGGTTTCTTTGCAGTTTTGTCCTTTTCTAATTTTCGGAACTGTTCGCGGAAATCCGACAGTTTTCGGCATTCACAGTTCGTCGCCATTGTCAAGGAAGATTGACGACTATGTGCAAATGGCGTTCGGCGAGATCTTCTATCTTTGCGGGTGTGTATTGGCTGAAAATAAACAATAAAATGTGTATATAAAAAATAAGACTGGTGTCAAACTTAGGATAGTCAAGCTAAGACCTAGATAGTCACGATAAGTCCAAGATAGTCAAACATAGACCCAGACAGTCAAGCATATACCCATATTAAAGTGAAGCATAAACCCAGATAATAAAGGCCAATATACATTAGAAGTCAAACATTGACCCAGGTAGTCATGCATTGACCCAGGTAGTCATGTTTATATCCAGATAGTCAAGAATAGACCCAGATAGTCTAGCATATACCCAGATAGTCAAGCATTGATCCAGGTAGTCATGTATATTGTAATGGCCGGCGGTAGTCAGAATTACTAAGAAGAGTTTTAAAGTTAACAATAGTTTTATTGTTTAAACAATTCATAAAAATCTATTATTATACGAAGATGTTGACTAATAATTATAAATAACGTTCAGCATCTAAATAAATCTATACAGTATAATGTTGCAGATGATAATTTATTAACGGATTAATGTCAATAGATTCTTATCCGATACTAGATCTAATACCAGTGGACACAACTCGAATACTAATAAAACGGACATAATGGACGAATGGTTAGACGGACTTAATAAATACTCATTGACTTTTCTAATATTGCCGGTCAAAGAACCGTACGCAACTGGATTTTACTGATCGCCGCCCGTGTTATGAGCTTTGGTCTGTGTCAACGTGATCTAAAACAACCAATGGATGGAGTCTCAGAAAGAGGGGTGTGACCCTTTTAACCAATGAATTACTGTCCGGCGACCGTTAGGCAATGAAATCAATGAACGGTAATGAACGGTAAATGGCAGGAACTACAAACTACCAGTCATTGATATAATGACTTTTACTCATCAAAAGTAAGTAATATGCATGTAAAACTTATAAAATACAATTCTTGGTAAAATAACAATCATTTTGATATACAACACTATGACAAAAAGTGACTAATCTTCATATTATCAACAAAATAGGTTACTGAACGGCGGGTGAGTTACAGACGCTCGAAATGGAGCTTTGCTATTAAAAAGCAAAATTGTAAAATATAACAATAATTCATGTGACTGTGAAGTGTTTCTGAGACGAAACAATATAAAGGTATATTTCCTATTGGTTAAGTCAGTCCTATAATGAGTAATTATCACATAAACGTAAAATCGTAGAGTCACCAACTACAACAACAACAACAAAAATGTCAGCCTCTATGAATTTGTGTTAATCATTAAATACATGAGATTAAGTAACATAGTAAGTTATACTGTAGGATATTGCTTAAAGACAAACAGTTAACAAGGTAAATGCCTACATGTTTAACATTTTCATGAACTCTGCAACGAATTATACAAGCTAAGAAATGACAATCTGTGATTTCTTACACTATACCCAGATTGTCAAGAATAGACCCAGATAGTCTAACATATACCCAGATAGTCAAGCATTGACCCAGGTAGTCATGTATATACCCAGATAGTCAAGAATAGACCCAGATAGTCTGGCATACACCCAGATAGTCAAGCATTGACCAAGGTAGCCATATATATACCCAGAAAGTCAAGAATAGACCCATATAGTCTAGCATATACCCAGATAGTCAAGCAAATACCGATATAGTCAAGAATATACTCACACAGTCAACCATAGTCCTATATAATCAAGCATATACACAGATAGTCAAGCATATACTCACATGATCTAGCATTGACAGAGATAATCAAACATAGACCCAGAGAGCAAAGCATATGCTGCATTTTTATTAATTTGACCAGCTTTTAAGCTGAAAAAGTCCTATGGTCCCTTGGTCAAAACTGCACGTATGTGCAGACTGACTAAGCTCTTTTAAATGGTAACACAGTCCAATCACAAATAGGTTCTAGAAGGTTAAGAGTTAAATCAAAAGATTGCAGATGACCTTGAAAATCTCGAAAACTTTGAGCTGTAAACCTTATGAACATTTATTTATTTTTATTATTTCTGCTTTAATGACAAAATATTAATGGTGTTTTGTCAAATATAAAACGTTAATAATCATACGTGTCTTTAATTGATGCGAAAAAAAGATATTATATCATACAAATTTAAATGATCTCAATTTCTGCAATTTGCTCTTTTCATTTAAAAAAACAAACAACAATCCAGCAATCCATTACAATAATTAATGCTAATATGGTCCATTCTTCTATATCACAATAAAGAATCTTAATAATTTGTCATTATTATGAATATATTTGATATCATATCTTTAAAATGTATTAAAGACAGGAACAATAATAATTTGTTAAAATGCAAGAAATGAGGGAAAGGATTTGCCCTATTATTACCCTTGATAAATAATTACCACGTCGTAACGACAAAAACAACTATATAGACAAAAAAGTCAACGAGCGAAATTTTATAATTTTGGAAGCACTCAAAATGTTTATATGTATTATGGAGGACATTTGTTTCTACCAAAATGTCTTTTCTTGAAAACAGTACAAAGTGAGGCACCGGGTCGTCAATATAAAAGATCGCCCCACTGACTACTCGCCCCCATTATGACTCGCCCCATTTTATTGTCAACCCGGCACACTTAAGTGACGATAAAATCACTGTACAATGAAACTTGTTTTCTAATTCATTTTGTTTGAAAAATATATATGCTTAATGTAATGTCTGCATATGTTTGGAAAATTTTTGATGGGCAACATTTCATTTTGACTTGGCGACAAAATAAAAAAACTATCTAATAATGACTGTTGTACGTTGTCAAGTAACGGTCATCGCGACACCGAATAACTCGAAACAACGAAAGCTCGAAAATATACTTTCAAGGATACTTACGAAATTACTCAGAAAACAATTGAAACTGATTTTTCTTTTTACATTTTCGTCTGATTCAAAAGAAAAGTGTTACAACGCTCTTTATTATAGGATCAATATTTGTGCTAAATAAAAGTACTGATTTTGGCAAAAAGGCGATGAAATGATCTGAAAATTCAACACAAATGATCGTGGTTCACACCGACTTCAAATGGTACATAAATCCCGAAAATATATTTCAAGTCCCGTAACGTCAAAAAAAAACCTTTAACAAATTCAACTTTACGAAATTTCAATTTCGAATTAACAAATCTACGGGTAAAAGTTATGACGTCGTGAACTCTTGAATTGAAAAATTATGTACCACCGATCTTCCGGAGTAGGTATACGTTTATGCGTTAACTGTGTTGCACGTAAAGTATAAAAAAGTATAAAGTATCACTGTGACAGTAATTATAGCAAAACAATCGTTAACCAGTCACGACGGGATACCGGGCTAATTATGCAATCATTAGCCTATAAGCACATTCTGTTTTCGCGAAGAGAACCAAAATTAACCCTATTTATTTTATGCTTTTCGGTGGATTACTGATTTATTCGTAAAAAATTTATTTGATAATTTCACAGTTAAAATAAGCAAAATATAATTTTACACTTTTCAATGACGAAACTACATTTATGAATTTTTCCTATGTGGTACCTCAATTTTATTTTTGCTGACAATTCTGACAATGTCAGGCTGTTTAGAGGAAAGCAAAGCTGAAATTGGTATATAACTTAAATGCCAAAAGTTATAAAAAAAGAAGAGCATTCAAATTACCAATCACATAATATCGTCTCTAATGTTTTGTTTCATTTTGACAGTCTGACAAATACATTCCTATCACACGCAAAACTGCTCTTGATGACATTTGGGCATATTTTAGTATCATACGAGCAATAACTGCCGTATGCTTTATGAAAACTTGAAAAGCAATGACAGCCATCAGCGCAAAGAATAAGTAAAAAAACCAGCGTTCGTAACAATTCCAAGTTTTCAAATTTCCTAGCAAATTTTGGAAAGTCTTCACATCTGTCAACACTTATTTATTGTCTGTTACAATCCTCAAATAAGTTTTCTTTCTTTTAAAAAGGTGTATTACTAACAAATCCAAATGATATCCCTCTGAATAAAACACAATTATTTTCCTCCAGTGAAATACACAACTTTTAAAAATGGCGGCCGCTTACATTTCATAAAGCCAGATCTAATATAAATTCGCAATAAGTTACAGAAATATGGATTGATGGTTGGACTTTTTCTCTTCTAGAATTGTTTGTTTTTATTATTAAAATAAGCGATTATTCATTTTTTTTTTAATAAAATAAATACTATCACTGCCATTTAACGTTGATTGTCGAACTTATTTTCGGCCCAAGACTTCTTGAATTTATGAGAAATTCGACTAATACATGTACATAATAGAGGGTACCAGTGGGGAAAACAGATTTTAATATTAACGTTTATAACGTTTGAATTTGTTTTAGGCCACTCGTGAGAATACTGTTTTAATAGCCAACTCGATGAAATAAAATTTCATCGTACACACAAACAAACAAATATCCTCTATTTACTAGGTTTATTATAGCCAAATTAGATCCAAGTTTGTGTCGTTCCTTTTTTTATAATCGAACAAAAAATACGATTCGGTTCAAAACACCCCAAAAAGTAAAGCTTGCGTAAATTAAAGCGTTTGTATGAGGGATATCCGGAAAGTTCGTAGACAAGGCTATAAAATTATCATAAGCGATCATATTAATGTGATTGTTGAAAATTTTGATGAAGTATTTATCTGCTACATATCACTAAATTAATAAAAAAAATGATAAAAGAAATATTTGCAAAGCACCGATTACCATGGCAACATAATCAACGAATCACGGAGCACTTTGATTTCATGACGATATCTACTTGAATAATAAGTTGCTTAAAGTTGATATTTTAACGCAAACTCTCGTTTTCATGTTGTGACATCATAGGATACTATAACATGATATTTAGTGTAGTTATGACGTCATACGCAAATAAACAAGACGATTATAGGCAATGAAGGTGCATATATTTTTTTGTTGGAAAAATGACTTCAAATTCACAGACGGAGCAACGTA